TGTGTTAACCCACAGCGCCACACCAGGACTCTGTTGTTATTGTTAGGTGCCATCCAATCAGTTTCGACTCATAGTGACCCAATGCACAACAGAATGAAACACTGCCCGGCCCTGGGCTAATCTCACAATTGTTACGTTGGATTCTGTTTCTGCTGCCACTGTGTCAGTCCATTTCCTTGGGGTGGGGGTGGGGTCTTCCTCTTCTTTTGCTAATCCTCTACTTTACTAAGCATGATGTCCTTCTCCAGGGACAGATTTGTTTGTTCTTCTGGCAGTCCATGGCACTTGTAACTTTCTTCACCAACACCGTAATTCAGAAGCATTAATTCTTCAACGGTCTTCCTTATTCACTGTCCAAATTTCGCATGCATATGAGGCTACTGAAAATACCATGGTTTGGGTCAGGTGCACCTTAGTCCTCAAAAACATTTGTTCATTCTTCATTGTTCATTGTTGTTGTTAGGTGCCATCAAGTCAGTACCAACTCATATCAAACCTATGTACAATAGAACAAAACACTGCCTGGTCCTGGGCTAACCTCACAATTGTTGCCATGCTTGAGCCCATCACTGCTTCCACTGTACCAATCTTGCTGGGGTCTTCCTCTTTTTCTCTGACCCACACCTTACCAAACATGATATCGTTCTCCAGGGACTGGTCCCCCCTGACAAAATGTCCGAAGTATGAGAGACGATGTCTGGCCATCCTGGCCTCCAAGAAGCACTCTGTTCTGGCTGCACTTGGAAGAATTCTTCTCTTTCACGTCTGTGCAAAACTGACAAGAACAACCAGGTCCAAGTCATGGAGGAAACTCAGGAACTTCCTAAGAGCCAACCTCCTCCAGATGAAGTTCTCTGGAATTTAAAGCAAAGGGTGCTGGAGGGAGACCATGTGTCCGAAAGTCTTAGGTTTTTGTGCTCACACTTTCTCACGAACACACAGACCAACCCATACCATGGCCATCGATTCAAGTCAGACTCATTAGAACCCTACTGGACAGAGCAGAATGGTTCCGGAGGGTTTCCGAGTCTGTCCATCTTTACAGGAGCTGCCTGCCACACCTTTCTCCAGTGGAGCAACTGGAGGGTTTGAACCACCGACCTTTAGGTCAGCAGCCAAGCCAAGCACTTCACCATGTTAGTCACCAGAGTTCCTTGGAAAGTGCTTGAGGTGTGATTAAAGGGATAACTGAGAAAGATCCCCACCTTCTGAAAGATATAATTCAAGTACCCAAAGCAGTGTGAACATATGATACCCACACCATCCCTACCGTTGAGTAAGAGGGAAGGGCCACAGGAGCCACACTGGGAGAAAGCCGTGCTCTTCCTTCGCTGGTACACGATTCGAGCCGCTAGTCTCTCCACTGGGAAAAATATAGGTAATATCTCAGTTTTTCCATATATATATATATTTTTTAATGTTTTATTGTGAATTATGTGATAGTTTACATGGGGGAACATTAGTTTTACATTCATTGTATCATATATTGTCTCTCATTGCCATGGTTACAATCCCCTCCATGCAATCCTTCCCCCCCGTACCCCCCAGGTCTTCAGCACACAGTCGCTCTCCCTCTCTGGATCTAAAGTCTCCAGCTGCTCCATCGCTCCACGCCATCATCTCTGGCTCCATTTCAGGCATCACTGCTTCTCTGGGTAGGGTCCTGCTCTCTGCTCTTCTCCCTTGATGGTACTAGGGACCTTCGCTCCTAGACTGAATAGTTAATCACTCGCCTCCTTGCTATAAAACGTCTACCTTTACATTTCCGACCCTCACAATCAGTCCTGATAACAATTATTCAATGTTGTATCACAAGAGACCCGTCTGCATTTCATTGCATCAACCCCGCCTAGACAGACTGAATACTACTCACTCTAGATTCTACCTTCCTCCAGGCCCTCTGGATCTAGGTTCCCTCTTGAAAGCTTGTAAGCCAGTCACTTCTTGCCTTTGTAGCCCCCCGGCTCCCATTTTGGGTAGCCAATGTCCAAGTTGCCCATCCCTGTCTACTCTGTATGTGGAGGGGGTGGGAATGATTCTTGCTGTAAGGACTTGTTCCCTCTTTTGAGCTACTGCTTCCATAGGTGTAGGTCAAGATCATCAAATTGTATGAGAATACTTTTTTTTTTTTCCCCTCTTCTTTTTACTTCTGGTTGAGCTCTGATCATGCAGTCACTGAAGCCAGGATAAGTGGGTATTATCTGCAAATGTGGGTGTTCATATTGTTTTATTCTTGGAGAAGAATATTAAAGGTACCATGGACTGCCAGAAGAACAAACAGATGTGTGTTGGAAGAAGTACAACCATAATACTTCTTAGAAGCCAGGATGGCCCCAAATCATCATCTTCAGACATATTGTTAGGAGGGACCAGTCCCTGGAGAAGGACATCGTGTTTGGTAAAGTGGAGGGTCTGAGAAAAATAGGAAGACCCCCCCACAAAGAGATGGATTGGCACAGTGGCAGTAGCAGTGGGCTCAAGCATAGCAGCTAATGTGAGAATGGTGTAGGATTGGGCAGTGTTTTGTTCTGTTGTACACAGGGTCACTATGGGTGGAAACTGACTCGATAGCACCTAACAACAAGAGATTGTCTCAACAACACCCTACCTTCCTACATTGAATAATGCAAGCATTTGGGTCAATGGCTAATTTTCAGAAGCAGATCTCACCAAACCTTTTTTCCTAGCTTGTCTTATTCTGGAGGTTCCGCTGACATCTGCCCACCATGGTAACCCTACTGGTATTTGAAATGCCGGTGACATCCCTTACAACATCACAGACACACGAAGGCTACCACAGGACAAGTCATCATCAGTGGGACCTCCTCCACTGGGTGGATCAACACAGCAGCTTCGGAACAATGGAGGCAAACACGTCAACGTAGTGAGGACGGCGCAGAGCCGCACATTGCTTGTTCTGTTATACACAAGGTCTCCTACATGGCTGTTCAGCTGCACCTCCACCTCGGGTCCTTACTAGGGTGTTGTATTCATCTCAGCCTGGACATGATGCCCTGTGTTTGATGAACACTAGGGTCCACCTGGTCAGGGCCTTGAGGACTTGGAGTCTTGGGTCTTCCTGTTCACCGCAGTCAGTCAGCCAACATCCTGGATCTATAGATGCAGTTTCAGTGACGTTTGCCAGCAGGAGTGGACTGGTTACCTAGCTCCTAGAGGGCATCATGTTTGCTATCCTGGTGGAATTGTCTCCTCCAAAAACGTATGTTGTAAATCCATCCCCTGTTACTGGTTAAAGCTTGGTCAAGTAGCGGGTCAGCAAAAAGAGGAGGTCGTTCAACTAGATGGGTTGACGCAGTGGCTGGCACAGCCGGCTCCAGTGTAAGAAAGATTGTGAGGACAGCGCAGGACCGCTCTGTGTTTCGTTCCGTTGTACATGGTGTCACTGTGAGTGGGCACCTACTCAATACATCGAACAACACCAGCTGTGGTTATAGTCCCCACTTGGGAAGGAGTTTTCTTTGTTGTATTAATGAGGCAGAGTTAGCATTTTTTTTAAGTAAGTCTCCTGAGTTACAGACGACCAGATGAAGCAAGCAACAAAAAAGCAGAGACTTACTTAAAAAAAATGCTAACTCTGCCTCATGAGGACGAGAGATACCAAGGACCCTCAGAGCTAACAGAGAGAGTCGTTTCTTAACGCTGGGGCCCTGAGGTCAGGCTTCCAGCCTCCTGAGCTGGGAGAAAATATACTTGTTTGTTCACGCGTGGTATTAGTGTTACAATGGGCACTCGGGAACTAAGGCAGCTGGTGAATAGCTGGGAGCTAAGGTCAGTGAGAACAGGTAATCCTGAATCAGCAAATAACACAGCAACTGAAGCCAACATTCCAACAATCATGAACGTGGCACAGAACCGACCAACGCATCCACTAGGGGGCATGAGTCCCAAGTAATTCACCACAGCAACACCCCACAAAGCACCAGCAGATGGCTTGCTGCCAGAACTGGTCGGACGCCATTCTGAGTGACAGGACTTAGAATCTCATTGGCCATGGGCACTGGCCTCCCTTGCTCTGCGCCTCGAGTGACACCAGCTGTCCATTTCTTCGGAACCCTCAGAGCAGCTCAGACAATGGGCATGAGGTGGGTCAGCAGTTCAACCACTGACCAACACGACGTCTCCATTGTTCCCACGTCATCACACGACACCCAATACTTACAACACATCCATCTCCTCCTTGTTCTGTGGGATGGCAACTGGCAGCTAGCATATGACGGACTCATTGTCATCCTCGCCCCCCTGTGAGGCCACCCCCTCCTATGGCTTTCTGAATTCCATGCCCAGCATGATGGTTGTGGCTGCCTGCCTGCCCCATCCCTGTGAACTCAGGATCTCCCACAGGTTGAGGGTCCTGGGGCCCCAGCCTGCCTGCCCAGGAAGGTGGAGGTAGATTGGACCTGGCTACACTCTGAGGGCTTGAATCAACTTCACGCCCGGTGCCCACAACTGAACGTCACCCCTGTCCCCAGCAGCCCCACACCTCCCTCGTCCTCAGAGAATCCATCCCAGTGAAGGAAGCTCTGGCTTTACCAGGGTCTACCCGGGGTGGACAGGCCCTCCGAGTGGCTAGCCTACCTGTTCCTCTGTTTATAATCGATACCTTCTCCTTCCAAAGACGGGTCAAGAAGGGAAAAGCCGTTCTGCCTGTGAACGCCCTCTCACTGAGCATCAACAGCCACACCACATCACACCACTCATTGGACCCTCCTTCCCAAGAACAGCCAGTTCTGGAACCAACCCGGGGGACACAATGCCACCTGTCACCACTGGGAGAGGCTGAGGGAACCCAGCCAGCTCCTTCCAGACGTGGACACAGAAGCCAAGAAAGGGGAGACTGGGTACATGGGGCAGAAGAGCAAAGGGTCAGAGTGGTCCAATGAGGGATATTTGGATTGAATGGGCAGTGAGCTGGCTGGCTAGGGAGGGCGGGGAGGCTTGGAGGTGACCACACCAACCCGAGGGGTATCTCCTGTGGATACCTGACCTCGGCGCGTCTCGCAGTTGTGAAGGTAGCTCAGGTGGTAGATCTTCAGGTTTAAGGTGGCAAAATTCAGGTACTTCAAGAAAACCTGCAACAAGAATTGTAGTTAGGTGCCATCGAGTCGGTACCAGCTCAAAGCAGAACAAGAATTGTAGCAAGAATTAAACATGTGTCCAGTAGGGGGCGCTGCACACTCAGGCTGTGGACTTGCCCGAAGAGGCTCACACATGGGGATCTTGTCTAAGAAACACATGGAACCAAGATAGGCACATGTGTGCGGTGGTCATTCCCTAACTCATGGCCACCCTGTGCACAATGCAACTAAACGTTACCTGGTCCTATGCCAAGGAGGCCTGGTGGCACTGTGGGATAAGCACTGGACTGCTAACTACAACATGGGCAGTGCAAACCCACCGACCGCTCCTAGTCTGTTTTAGTCTGGAACCTGTTCTGCTCCCCTGGCAGACTGCAGATGAGGAGCACTGGCCTGGAATGGAACCTGGGTCTCCCGCACAGAAGGTGAGAACTCTACCCGTGAGCCAGGCGTGGCCCCGTAGGGGATGATGTGCACACACAGACCTACTCAGGCAGACCCACCACCCACACACACCAAGCACCAGGAGGCCCGCCCAGGACCTGTGGCACTCACGTCTTCATCTTCGCTGGTGAAACATGGGCCGTCAAGCTTGTTCACAGCCATGATGACTGCCACCATGTCCTTGCCATTCATGATGGGAGTGGCCAGGAGGTTCCTCGTCATGTACCCGGTGAGCTCGTCAGCAAATGGGCTGAAGTGGGAGCACTGGGGGAGGGGGGAGGGCAAGAGAGGAGACACTGTTCAGTGTGGGAGCTCCCCACACCCCTGGTCCCTACAAATGGGGCTCAGTTCTGCAGTGACCTTGGACACCAGACACTGGTCATGACCAGTGGGAACTGGCTTAACCCTGGGACTGGGGCCAGCTTAGACCCTTGTCCTCCACACACCCCCTCCCCCATGCCGGCAAACCTCTGACCCCCCAGATCTCAGCCCAATAGGCTATGGTGGAGCCCTCAAGTCCCCACAGACCTCCCTGCCTGCTTTCTGTCTTGCACCTGGCCACACCTTCTGGCCAAGTCTGTCCCCTGACCCAAACCTCAAACCCATCCTGGTTTAGACTATTGTCTCCTCCTGCCTTCAGACCATGCCCAACATGAGTCTCCATTGAGTTAAGTCACATGGATGGTGACCTCGTGCGTGTCAGAAGAGAACTGCATTCTGTAGGGTTTTCAATGGCTGCGAACCTTAAGGTCAGCGGTTTGAAACTACCAGCTGCTCCACGGGAAAAAGATGAGGCTTTCTACTCCCGTAAAGATTTACACCCTCGGAAACCCTGTACAGGGTCGCTATGGGTCGGAACCAACTCGACGGCACTTAACAACAACAACAATTTTTGGGAAGAGGATCACCAGGACTTTCTTCGGAGGCACGTCTGGTTGAGCAGTGAAGGCTTTCACCTTTTGTGCTTCCCAGGAGTTTCAGTCCTCAGGTGCTCTTCCTCCAAAGACAGCTATTGGCTGAATGAAGGATGGGTCCAGGTCTGATTGGTGGTTTTTCCACCACACCCTGGAGGAAGTGGGGGGATGGGGGCACCCATACCCACGCCCACCAGTTTTAGGATGGCTCCCCTGGGCCTCTCCCCTGGTCTGGGGATGGTTGAGTAGTAATAGTTCTTCCTCCTTAAAGAGCAAGTTTGAGGAGCTGAGCCTCCGCCCTGGTGTACCGAGTGCGGGAAAACAAGGTGGCTCAGATGACTGGATTCTCAATTCTGTCCTTCAAAGATCAGAATGTCTCTTTAATTTCATTCTTGACCTGCCAGCTCTGACATTTATTTACAAGAGGCCAAAGTGACTGAGGTGGACATCTCTGGAGTCAGACTGCTGGACTGGGTCTGTGGGACCTGTGTCCCCCTCCGTGCCCTGGTCAGTCTGACCACCTCAGCAGCAAATGCCCGTGCATTGTGCTGTTCATTATTATGATTATGGTCATTGTTATTATATCAGGTGTATTCCTTCATTCCCAGGGACTATACTCCTGGAAAAGAGTTCTGTTGGCAAGGTCGGCAGTTCAAACCCCCCAGTAATCCCCAGGAAAAAGACGAGACCATCTGCTCTCGTAAAGATTAGGTCTCAGAAAACCTCAGGAGTGGTTCTATTCTGTCTTATAGATCAGGGGGGGTCCCGCCCCAGAGCCTCCCACCTGGTTGCCCCCACAAAACCCCACAGGGTCTCAGGAACAGCAGGGTGGGGTGGGATGTGTGCCACGGTGGCTGCAGTACCAGATGGCACAGCTCTGCGGGTCCAGCAGGGGACGGGGCAGGCCTGTTAGCAGCTTCGGTGTTCTGGTCATACTGCCTGCTCCTTCCTTCCCTCCCTCCATTCATCTGTTTCTTCACCGGTCCCTTCAGCACTCCGTGGTGACCCATTTCTTAAAAAGGAAGTGAAGATGAAGTTGATCCCAGAGATTATTCTATTCTGGGTACTGCTTGTGGACATCGGCTAAGAGGATTGAGTCCTCTTCCTCACGTCTGTTTGTGTCCAGGAGGGAGGTGGCCTTGGACTGCCTGGGTCACTAGAAATGAGGGGTTCCTGCTTTTCTGTATCTAAGCCTGGGCATCTTTCAGCCTCTTTGTCCACAGGGAAGGCTAAGGGGAGGGGCCGAGCTAGAAGAGGCAGACGCCTCCTCTTCTCTGAGGCCCTGCCCACTCTGAGACTCCACCTCCTGGTCCTTGGTCTCTCTGCCCATTACCCGATGTCCAGCACATCCCAAACCTACATCACTTTTTCTGTTTTTTAAGGTTTTATGTGAGTTATGTGGGTTTACATGGGAGAACATCAGCTTCACATTCATCCTGTCGTATTTCGTTTCATTGCAATGATTACAATTCCCTCCATGCGTCATCAAATAACCAAAGGGTACACCCCACAGGCCCACCCCCACCCCTGGCTGTCAGCACACAGGCCCTCTCCCTCCCTGAGTCCCGTGTCCCCAACCACTCCATCTGTCCATGTCATCATCTCGCTCTCCATGCCTGGCATCACTGCCTCTCTGGGTAGGGTCGCGCTCTCCATTCTTCTCACTTGATGGTCCCAGGGACCTCCGCTACTGGGCTGCAAAATCAATCACTCCCCTTCGTCTGTCAAAAAAAAATCTGCCTCTACATTTCTCACCCTCACAATCAGTCCTGATGGCATTTATTCACTATTGTACCACAAGAGTCTTATCCCCATTTCCTTTCGCCAGCCCTGTCCCAACAGATTGGAAATCATTCAGTGGAGGTTCTACCTACCCCTGCCCCATCTAGAACTAGGCTCCCTCTTGAAAGCTTGTAAGCCAGTCACTTATTGCCTTCATAGACATCCCCGCCCCTCCCCCCCCATGTCCCACCTCATTTTCTTTTGCAGTCTTATGCCAACCATCACAGACCCTCTGTGCCTGGTTAAACAATTAAGTCCCACATGTGTGTTCGAGGAGAGCTGTGTTCCACAGGGTTTTCCATGGCTAAAACCACTTCTCACAAGCAGATCAGCAGGACCTGTCTTCTGACATGGCTCAGGGTAGATTGGAACCTCTCACCTTCACTCAGAACTGAGCGCTTTCATATTTGCCCCCCTGGTTATAGAGGCCAAAGCCCAGCTGTCCTCACCGCCCCTACCTCTTCCCCATTGTCATACAGCAAAAGGTCCAGCCAGCCTGACATTTCATCTGCCACCCGTCCACCCAACTGCTCCCCACCAACCAACCAAACCAAAAGCCAAAACAGATGCTGTTAAGTGGGTGCAGACTCTTGGTGACCTGTAGATTTCCAAGGCTGTCTGTAACCTTGCTCAAACAGTTGAGCACTTGGCTACTAACTGAAGGTTGAAGGTTTGATTCTATGCAGAGGTGTCTCAGAATTAAGACCTGGAGAGCTACTTAGAAAAGGTCCCAGCCATAGAAAACCCTATGGAGCAGTTCTACTCCACCTGGATCACCCTGATGTTCAATGGAAACTGGCTAACCTTTTGAAAGCACATCTCCAGAACGTTCTTCCGAGGCTCCTGTTGCTGGGTTTGAACCACCCACCTTTCGGTTAGTAGTCAAGGGCTTAACTGTTTGCACCACGAGGGACCCCATAAGAACTTGTTCCCTGGAGCAAGAATAAACCCCAAGGAGGCTCTCTTAGGAGATCTAGCTATCAGATTCTGAGTGGACGCTTGACCAACCCCAAACCATACCCAGAAAACACCTGGCTGAAGATTCCAGTCCAGACACACCTCATTCACATCCTTGACATTCACCATCTTCTTGGTCTGTGCCACATACCCGACCACCCCGATGTCCAGCGGAAACACGATCTCGGAGTTGGGGGGCACCAGACACTCTTCCAGGGTGCTGCCGGGCTGCACGCTGAAGAGGCGCGTGGCGAGCTCGGCCACGCCGTTGCGCTGGCGGTACATGAAGAGGCTACAGCAGTCGGAGCGCAGGATGCCGCATAGTCGCCGTAGGATCTTGAAGACCACGCGCTCCATGTTGATGTTTTCCTGCATGTCCTGGACCAGTTCCAACAGCGCCTGACTCTCTTCCACCTGGCACAGCTCCTTGAAGCTGCTGCAGTCCACCAAGTGTTCTTCCTTACTGGCCCTGGCTGCAGGCTCGGGGCACAGCTGTTTGCCGAAGTACCTCTCGGCGAAACCGGGGTTCCCATCCAGAAACTTCTGCACATGCTCCTCGCTGAGGCTCATGGTGTCTCCAGTCCTCCAAGAGGCAGTTAGTTCCCCCGAGTGGTCCGGACTCCCGCAAACACTCTCATCAGCAAACTCTTTCTTAGGGAGGATTATGGGATGTGTCAGCTGGCTACGCGGGAGCTAAGGGAGAGCCTCACTTCCCTTAGACCCCAAGACTTTCCAAGTCCTCAGGAAAATCAGACTCCTTTGACATGAAAGCTGGGTGGGCAGCAGGAGGCAGGTAGTGGAAGAAAGCCCCATTCCCCCGCCTCCCCCATGTCTAATCCGCAGGAGGTGGGTAATCCCACAGATGAGAGGACCCTGTCCATTTCAGGAAGCTTCCTGGGATGGCTCCAAAAGGCGACCATGTCCCTCCTTAGTGCTCACACCTGGGTTCAGATGTGCTGTGTGGGGTAGGGAGCAGGGGGGCTGGTTTTGTCTCTAAACAAGGCAGCCCACCTCTGGCAGGGCAAGGAAGGCCAGGCCACTGTGCTCTGCACCCCACATTCCCAGTAACTGGCAAGAGGGACCCCAGCCACCAGCCGATAAAAAAGAGAGGGCATCTGCACAAGAACACCCACACTTGCAGATAATACCCACTTGACCTGGCTTCAATGACTGGATGATCAGAGCTCAATCAAAAGAAAAACGAAGAAAAAAAAAAAGTAATCTGATACAACTTGATGAACTTGACCTACACCTATGGATGCAGTAACTCAAAAGAGGGAACAAATCTTTACAACG